TTGACCCAGCCAGCAAGCAAATATTTTTTCTGCACCAATAGCTCTGTATTAATCATCACCTACAGCTTTTCTATATTGAGACTGGTGACCCTCTCTCCTTGCTGCTTTTTTTGATACCTACTGAAGAGCATAAAGACAGAGGCAAAGACTTACCTTCATCAAGGAGGAATGCAAGAAATCCACATGCTGCCTTCTCCACAAATTTCTTCACAAAAAGGACTAGGGAATTCCAAGGCACTTGGGCTGAATGTAGAAGGTATGCAAGGAGGTAGCAGTTGTTGGCCTCTGTAATGTCTTGATCTTCTCTGGCTCAGAGCCATGATATTTGGAAACATCTTTCAACCCTACAGGCTGCTAGAACATGTTCAAATATACTAAGCTATAGAGCTACAACAGAACCTCTTGATCACTATCCCTAATTTTGGATTAGAAGACACAAACCCAACTTCTGACCTATGATGGCAGATACTTCATCTGAGACCAAGTAGGATAAACCATGTATTCATTTGCTGCAGATTCAGTGGCCCTGCCTCAGTTCTGGTTCAGTCTACACTGCCATCATACCTCAAGGACAGTACCAAAGACCTTCTTGGTGAGAGAGATTCTGTCAGATTATCCAAAATGCATTGCATAAATCCTTTGCGGGCATTTGGAGTAAAGTACTGAAAGTCCATCTCTGTCCATTTATTTGTTTTGTTTTGTTTAATTTCTATACTGCCCAATAGCCAAAGCATTCTGGGCAGCTTACAACAATCCATTAAAACACAATCTAAAATACACCACAGCAGAAAAACATTGGGGGAGGAAATGCCATACAATTTTAAACTACACATTATTATGCAATTATATAGGAAAACAAATGTTGACTTACAACTACTCTTGCAGGAACTGAGTATACACTCAGTCAGTTTCTTTGCAGGAGGAGGGTACTTGCTTTTCATTGGCCTTGGATCTTGCTTTTCTCTACAAGTGACAAGATTGATGACCTTTATGTTTTCACTGTGAAAGAATTGTTCAGATGATTCTGAATTGGCTCATTCCTCTAAATAAGCCCACGTTCTTCTGCAATAGGAGTATTTGAGTACACTTTGAAAACATTTTTTCTGTGTAGGGAAACTTGAAACATGCCCTATACCTAACACAGTGTTAGCCATTTTGATGAAAATGTTCAAAGAGGTTGCCTTTTGGACTGAACTTGATTTATCTAAAAGCTGGTTTCATGATCTGACAATCCACCAGAAGTGATTGACTTAGACATATTACATCCAGAATCTCCAACAACATTGTGGGCCTCTCTGATTTTCTCTGCCAGCAGTCAGGGAACCTTTAAAAGTTTTGCTAGTACACCTGGGGGCATTGTGTTGGTTTCCACAAACCCTAGAAGTTCATCAGTAGGTGTAGGTGAGAGATTAGCTAGGTCGATATGTGGCCAGGCAGTGCACGAGGGATGTCAGCTAGTAAAGCTGCTGCTGATGGTGGATGCCCTGTTGAATGGTACAAGTCAGCAATACAGAGAGCTGGATTTTGCCCAGCTCTGTCTTCTTCTCATTCCAGTACAACTGTATTACCAAACAAATCTTCAGATAGGAAAGATACAAAAGACATTAAAAACTGACCATATGGGGGAGGGGAGCCATATGACACCTTTTTTTTCAGCTTCTGTTCTATTATATGCTTACAGACACAAATCTTGTGCTTGTCCTAGCCCACAAGAAAGTCTTTTCAAAGTCATTTAGTGAAGTCTCAGGTCATCTCTACCAAAGCATTAAAGAGCAAATAATTTCTTCATCCTTTATGTTAAAAGGCCTATCAAACAAATATTGCTATCTGATTATAAAATCCTGAACAATTAGAGCTGTGATTGTACAGGTTGAATTCTATTAAGTCACCATACAACTTAGCCAAACATTTGGGCAGGGGTGGGGATAGTTTCACTTCTTTAACTTTTTATTTGTCTTACCATACATAGGCCATGTATAAAGTCATCATCCAGGGGCCAAAGGTGTCATGCCACCAACAAAAAAGTATTAGAAGAGGAGCAGACTTCTCCTTCCCCAGTGCAGCTCCCCCATTTCCTTCCATATCTGCTCCTAAGGATTAGAGGACACCCCTCAAGAGCAGATGGGGGGTGCATGGAAAGGAGAGCATATCTGCCCAGGTATCTCTCCTGTTCCCTTACCAGAAGATCAAGACAGAGGCCTCTAACCACAGTCTTTTGTTGCATTAAAGCTGGCCAACCAGGATACAATATGAGTAATATAAAGGTCATTAACAAGAGGCAGATGTCAAGTTAAGGAGCATCTAACTGTACATGTTGGTTCTGCCCAAGGCACAAGTTGATTCTAAACTGAATTTCCCTTCTCCCTTTCCCATCACACAGAGTTGGCATCATCCTCATGAAGATGTACACTGTTTGTGGGCCAGTCTGCAACAATGTTTGATGTTATTTAATTGACTATGTTAGTTAATTGATCTGCTTGCTTGGTCTAGCATTGAACCATTGAGTTGATTACCTGCCTCCCCCTCTGCCTCCTCCCCCTTTCCAGAGTCTTCTCTCAAACCAGGGGCAATCTGGTTCTCACCAGCCACTAGGCTTATCTCACATCTCATTGACCTTGGAAATTCAGCCGAGTATTCTGACCCCATCTCTTCTTCCAGTTCAGATCCAGCATCTGAAAGTAACATTGCTGTTCTCATCACATGACATTTCAATCCCAACTTTTTTCCTCTTGTAAGGAAGCCAAGGCTGCTTCCATGGCTTCATTTTCTCCTCACAATGAGAGCAGTAGGTTATGTGAAGTAGGTTATGCTGAAAGTCCATGACTGGCTGAAACATGCAGTCATTATTGTTTCACAAATAGTTCAATTTAAATAGTGTCTGTAGGTTCAGCATCTTCCTGCTTCATAATCCTTGATCCCAGTAGGTGCCCTCATAAGTTCCTGCCTGCTTCAGAGTAGACTTATATGTCACTACCCAGGCACTTTAAGAATAGCCCTAAAGTTCTTGCCTAGAATGCAGTTTCTCCCACTCCTAGTACTCTGAGGATCATAGAATATTCCATGAGTTGAGTGAACCTCAAAAACCTGTATGGAAACCTGTGGTCCTGTGGCTGGCATGTCCAAAGGCTTCATGGGGTTGTTCACAATACAGGTGTCTGCAGAGGATTCCGTTCTTTCCACTCCTCTGCAGAGATCCTACTTTCTAGATCTGAGTGCAACTGAATCTTAACACATACAAATAGCACCGTATTGAGTTCATCTCCGTCCACTGTCTCATTTAGCCTGAATTCATGACTAGAGAAAGAGAAATGTTACCAAATTCAACTTAAATAAGATTAATATAATATTGCATGAGGCCATATGCTGGCTTATTGAGCAATAAAACTCTAAAGTTCAGGTTCATCTCATACATGGTAGAAAAATATTCATATGAAAAACAAATATTTGGAACATGGAAGTATTTTTTCCATCAGTTAATTCTTTTTGAATAGAAAAAGTGGTGGGACAGAGTTTAGGTAACACAGTACGTTTTAACATTTCTTCAGGAGGTGTGTTCCTGTTTTTGGATCATAATAGGAAAAAAACTATTCTACAATTAGAATGAAAGAAACTTCTTGAAGAAAATGGAATAGATAAATAGGTTTTTGGTCTACCTAATTAGGTCATGTAATGTCTTATGATCACTTCCCTCCCTTTCTTGCAGGATTATACACTGTAGTGCCAAAGCAACTGTCTGATTCCTCGCATAGTCCCCTCAAATTAAATTATGTCTATTCTAAAGCAATTTATATCAGAAAAATGACTTGCAGTAGCATTAACACCAGCAAAAAAATGTGTGAAATGCAGTCTCTATTAAGATTGCAGCTTTAGTCATAGCCCCTGCTCTTTCGTATTCTCTGCAGATTGTTCCTCCAAGATGTATTTTTCTGAGCATGTGAACTAGGTTGAGATTTTCAACCTGATCTCTGCCAGCCTTTCAGGATGGGCCAAGTGTGATGAATGGAGAGGCAAACATTTTCTGTTTGATTTCAGTGTCGCTCCTGGCATGATACCTCCCGCAAGCCAAAGGGAGGGCAGGAAGTACTTCCCTCACTCCCTTCCGGCATCACGATGCCATTGCCAATCAGATGTGGCTACAGAACATCTTTGTGCTCTCATTCTGCTGTCAGATGGTAGAAAGGCATCAGAAAATGGCATGGGGTGTGGCTAATACCACTATGCGAACTACAGAAATGTAGCAGGAAACCATTTACCAATCCTCTGAGCCACTCTTTGAGCCCAAAACAATTGGTGTTTGGGTCAGTTTTACTGAGCTCACAAGTAAATGCTTGGCAGTCTTGCTGTAGGGAAAAGAGAGTATCATTTATTTATTTGATTTCTATATCATCCCACAGCTGAAGCTCTCTGAGTGGTTTACAACAGTTCAAAAATAGATGTTAAAAATACAATAAAATATCAGAAAATCAGAAAAAAGATTTTAAATTTAAAACAGCTAAGAAGAGACAATAATAAAGAAGAAGAAGAAGAAATACTCTGCAAAACACCTAGTAATCTCACTCAAGCCCCAGAGTGGCCAAGTAAGTCTTTAAAGGCCTCAGAAAGGAGGGCTGCCTTAACATAGTGCTGAAAAGCTGACAAAATCAGTGCTTGCCAGGCCACAGCAGGGAGGTTGTTCTATAAATGGGAGTAGACACATTTTTTTTACTCATACATGTACAATCAGAAATTAATGTGCTGCCAGTGCTGAAGAAAGGGTATGTACAGCATTCAAAGAGCTAAATAGACCTTGCTAATATCTGCAGCTCTTTTTAAACCTTAGAACAGTATGGTAATAGAGCAATAAAAGCAATGAAGATAAGCCAGGAATTGGTGCCCGAGTCACTGTTTCTGCCACAACAGCTAAAGTAGATGTAAAGCTGGACTTCCGTAGGACCAAAGCAAACTAAAGGTGACTCCAGTTTTATCTTGCACTAGCAACAGTTGTTTGTTTTTATTTGTAGCAATGGGTCAGCAACATCAGAAGATCTTTTCTGGAAACTTGATGCACTGCAGATGTTTGTCTATGATCTCCACTGGCCAGAACCAGAATTTGCCCACCACTTAGAGCAAAGACTTAAACTCATGGCCAGCGATATGATAGAAGCCTGCATCAAAAGGTATATACTCACTTTCTGAATCTATCTTACATATTATATATTATTTGGAAGCTGTGCCTGCTCCAGCTTTTGGAGGGTCCTTGGACAAGATTCTCTCAACGGGTTTCCTCTCTGAGAGGGCCCAGTCCCTCTTTCTCCTCCTAAAATGTCACTAGCAGAAAGGAAGAGGTGCAGGTTCAAAGGGCTCTAGACACTGACAGAAGCCCCCCACAGTAATGTGAGCCATAGCAGATGCCCAGCAATGCCTACCCCTGATGCTGGCGTTGATTGAAAGTTAACATTCAAAAAGCAGTACTGGAGTACTTTTGGAGTTTTCCCCCTTCAAGAATGGAATTACTAATGATCAGGATGCCCTACTTGTGGACTTGCAGTTCCATGAAACTTTGCGAATGCACTGTTGGATTAAATAGTCCTTTGGTCATATCAAGATGATCAAGATGATTTTTCTTATGCTCTTATGAGGTTGCTTTGAATTACTCCAGTTGGCAAAGTTCCATGCACAGAAGCTTCTGTCTCTATTCTTCTGCTATACATGCAGGCATTGCAGTTTACTTCCATATGTGGAGATTGCAGTGACAGGAAACTTTTAAAAATGGCCTCCACACAAGTGTTGGCTCATGTTCATAGGCACTGAGGTGCACCGGGAAGAGATGTCCCTCTGGCAGCTGACACAGCTTGTCTTAGGGTGCATCTTATGAGAGGAATGTTTCTCCTCCTATTGCACTCTGGTCTGTACACCTTCTGTCCCATCTTTCCAGAGAGAAGACTGGAAGAAAAAAATAAATAAGCAAGAGGAGAAATTCTTCCTTCATGTATGTTTGTTTATCTCCTCTCCTGCAAAAAACCTGAAGAATATCGTGGATAAGCCCACCAAAAATTTTCTGTCTCCTCTAGCATGCTCATTTTCCCTTTGATTTTGCCGGCTCCAGAAGTAGGGAGAGAAAGGATGGAGAGAGAGAACTCTCTCAGTCCATTTTTATCTTACTGTTCCTCCAATTAGGACTTTGCCTAATTCCCTAGTGCAGGCATCCAAATTTGGGGCCATTGCTACATTTTGTGGTAGTGAATTCCATTGCCTAACAATGCATTGTGTGAATAGCTATTTTATCTGTCTCAACTCTCCCACCATTCAGTCACATGGAGGCTGCTTTAAATTGTTCCATAAAACATGGTGAACTAAGCTATATGTGCAGTGGTTTGACGTTTAAACTGGGCATGTTTCTGTCACAAACTTTCTGTTCATGCTGGTATGGTAAAGATCTAATCTACTGTACACACAGCTCACCAACATATGGATGCTTTAACATCACCTGAAAAAAGGAAGCTCTGTCACATGTGCACTGATCCTTAGTTATGTCTGGTGAAAGCAATTCTAATATCTACTCTTTAAACAAGTATATCTGAATTACATCTAGATGGGAGTTCTTTTGTGTAAAGGGACAATCATTATAATCATTTCTCCCTCTCTCAAAACCTGTCACACTTACTAAAACTCTAACTAGGCGTATTTTAAATGTCAGAAGAAACTGGTTTTTGCTGGTTTGAAAATTGTGCAGAAAGCTTATCTGTCAGAAAGAATTCAACATAGGATATATTTTATCTGTTCTGTGTCCTGTCATGCAGTTATTTAGTTACATTAGTATCTAACCTTGAGAGGACTATTAAACAACCTTACTGGAAAGTTTTATTAGCATACATGAATAGGATGATTCCAAGCTGCATATACCTACGCATTTCTATCTTGATTATCACATATCTGAAACTAATCAGTTTAAATATGGATTTACTTATAATTTCCTTCATCTAGAATCATGACAGATCTTTTTATTGCTGTTCATAAATTAATAGAACAAGAAATGCTTTTGAACTCAAGTTACAAAAGACGAACAAATCAACAGACTTACGTATTCCCTCCACTGTGTGCACCATGTTCAATGTGCTTGTTGATGCTAAAAAGCAAACTGCTAAGCTGTGCATTCTGGACGGTGGGCAGGAGGTAAGTGAAAATGTGAACATTTTAAAGTCAGCAGAGAAGACTTTTCCCATCTTTCAGCTCTGGACTGGCTACTGCAAGTTGCCAGAGTGAGGGGAGGAATGTACCCCCTCCCAAAAAAAGTCGCACATGGGACTAGTAGAACAAAGGGAAAGGTCGCCCCCCCCCCACCAGCACCTGCCTATTGTCTTGCATGGTCAGATAAAGGCATTTTTTACAGAATAATATGGTATTAAGGGAGTAGTAACAGCCTGAATGTTTTGCTACATTCATCCTTCACTGTCTGTTTTCAGAGTGTACATATGTTGGTGGGGGATTTAATATTTGTTGTCAAAGTGGAAGGAGTTGCCAGGAGTATACAAGTATAGCCATTTGTAGCAAACAGACATTTAATTTTGCTATACACAAAAAGGAAGAAAGCTTCCAGTATATTCAGTAACAGGAGTAATGTTTTTATAAAAGCCTACCAGTGATGCGGGGAGGCAGGGACAGCCTTCTTCAGAAGAATGCCAGATTGAGTCTTCTGCTAAGACGTAACATCATCTCAGTACGGATTGGAGAAAGGGGGTTGCTACAGTCAAAGAGACAATCTGCCTTTTGGTCCTTTAAGCCCTGATCCCAGGCAGTTGGTCTTCCATTGTCAGAAAAATGTCCCTTGTTTCAATGGAGCATGAAGCAAGAAAGCCAGACCAGATAGCATTGTTTGGCTACCAAGCCAAAATGTGTGGACCCTTGGTTTTAAGGTGTAAAGTCAGAAAATATTTCAGCCATTTGCTTTGCAATAAATCTGTCATTCATATTTCAGTGCATTTACCTTCTTATGGCATTCCAATCTTTTGTTTGTATTTTCTGTTGATTAAAACAAAACAAAAAAAACCATTTAATTAAGTCAAGTTCTAAAGTTTAAACAATTTATTCTGTTATTTTATAATTATTATTTTCACCATTTTTCCCCATTGTCTGTTTTTTGGGGGGCTTTCTGTCACATGACCCAGTTTGCTAATCAGTGGGTAAGTTCACTTTGTTTTAGAATTTATTTTGTCTTCCAACATATTTCAGTATACATTGTGTTGTAAACAGTGGAGTGGGGGAAAGAGGGGGATTGAAACTTTGATATTAAAAAAAAAAAAAACAATAAAAGCTTGTAGATCAGAATGTAGATCCCCAAGTAAAATAGATGCTCATTCTACTACCTTCTAACCTTCCACTATCATTCAGGAGTTTTGCTTGTGTCCATCTTCCTTCTTCTCAAGAACATTTCCATTCACTCTGGATCTCATATTATGTGTTCTCTCTCAACACCCAGAAAAACTTATGCTTACTATGCCTCCCCCTCTGTGTGCAGAGGCATGACTTTTGCTTCATCTGTCCCTCCTTAACCACATATTCTATCAAAGCCCACTCATATCTAAATCAAGTTCTTTATAAATCCTCTCTAAGTCCTTTACAAGCAAACAAAGGAGAACAAAGCATCTGCAGTTGCTTCAGATAACACACCAAATAGTGCCAAGGGATGAGCAACCTCCACTCTGCATAGGTTTGGTCTCCCCCTGCAGATCTCTCCTTCCTCAAGTCCTGCCCCTTTCCTGTTTCACCCACTTGCTAAACCTCTCTTCTTGACCTGGAGACTGTTGTGAGCTTGAGAAGGAGGTGGAGAGAGGAGTCTACTTATTAGCTCCCATCTGCAATTGAAGATAACAAGGGGATTACCTTCACTTAACAGTATACTAAGTGTTTCAGACTTGACCAGAGCTTGCAGGTACTCCTGCAGGTGCGAGATGAGTACACCGTGCTCCTCATTAGAATGTCTGCAAATAGCCATCAGCAAACCAGTGGTTGCTTCTTTTGGTTTTAAGAAGGGGAAAGCCTAATCCCAGAAGAGCATCCAGAAACTGGTGGGCAGTAGCTATTAACAATATCTGAATTGCAGTGAACTAAAATAGTCAGCAAATTCTTTTCATTATATAAATTCAGGCTTAAGACGGGTTTTAATTCAAAAGACATACTAATGTGTGTGGGCAGAATGAAAGTGTTCTTACGTGTATGTGGTTTTCTCCAGCATGAAAGGAATGGTTGACTTTGACCTGGTTCACACATACAATTAGTTATTAGCTCAACTGAGGATTCTTTAACCCACAACTAATAGTTAGTGACTGAGTCTGTTCAGAGGTTGAATATGCAAAATGGCAGTGACATATGCCTGGTATGCACCAGAGCAAATTTTGGGTCAATTAACCCACAGTTTGTTCTGTTGCATGCAAGCAGATCCTACAGCTACAACTTTTCCATGGATTTCCCACTTTAGTGTCCTTTGATTCCAACAGGACTTAATTGCACATAGTGAAACTATGGGCTTCATTACAGGTTATTTTATAACAGCAGTAATTGGCACTTTCTGACATTCCTTGTGTATCTGCATCCATCTGCTTGGATACAAAATGTTTGCTACATTAATCTAAGCACAGTGGGCATTTGCTTAACAAAAGGGCACCTCTCCTGGGAATTATTAAGTACATCTGTGTGGAAACTTTGAAAAAGAAGGCAAATGGCCTTCAAAAAGCTAAATTTTAGAAAAGTATTCAATGGGCTCCTGCCAAGTTAGGCTAATGTTTATATTGATTTTGGTGCTTTTACTCTGAGCATTATGCTCTTGCTGTTTCAGGTAGCCATGAACCATCAAGATAGGGTTAGTCTTTACAAGTCACATTTTTTGTCAAGTGGCTAGTGGGGCATTTTCTGCTCTCAAACAAATGCTCTGAAGGGAGAATTACTATTCTTTTTTAATGGATATGTGTTTAGAATTGCAAAAGAGCCCCTGTTCCTGCTAACTGCAGGATGGAAGTCTATTAACTTTGAAACAAGAGTGTAAAAGTCTTTCAGTTTAAAGTACACTTCTTTAAACGCAGCATTTTCATTGGTAGAAAAAGGCAGAAGTGAAAAGATGGAGAATGACAGTTGATCCAGTTATTATGCCTTTTGTAGGCCTTGTTATTTATTACCATCCTTCAGGTTCCCTGATGAAATTTTATTTTTGCCCATGCTTGAACAGATTGTGTATGTGTTGTATAAATTGCAGCTCACTCCACTGATAAAAGAGCTTTTTAAAGATTTAACAGTTAGTCCTTGTTTTATTTCTGGAGGACATAATTTATGAATGAGAGTTGTCAGACATAAAGTGCTTTATTTATTAAATCTTTTTCCCATCTTGCTTCTGCAGCTAAAGCAACCCTTTGTAGGGTGGGCAGTGGGGGAGGATGTACGGCCACCTTAATTATAGGGAAGACAAAAAGTATCCTTCACATTCCTTTGCCTGAATAAGAATAAGACCTCAATGCATCTAAATAATAACCCCATTAGCTGCTTAACTCAAATGCATACATGGGAAAATTTTCAGTGCAGAGTGTAAGAAAGTGTTGATTGGGTGGATAGTTTTCAAGTTTTTGTTCTTTGGGTGGTCAAAATTATTATTTTAAGTAAATCTACCAGGTTTAGAAGCCTTGTATTATATATGACTTATGACAAAAGTACTGTGTTCACATACGACACTAATGCTGGCCTTGTGTTCTGAAACACAGCAACAATACCATTCGAAAATAGACGACTTAATTGAAGAAACCGTGAAGGAAGTAATTTCACTTCTCGTTTCAAAGGTAAATATATTCATGCTTTGTTGCTGAACAGCAGTGGGAGAAAAATATTTCCATACCTGCTATCTACAGAAAAGAGATATTTGTCTGATGATTTTCCACATTGTATTTTTAAAGGAAAAACAGCTTTGTGCATTACCCTTAACAGTTTGAGATGTTTACAGATTTAGTTTGCAATTTGATCAATGCTTCTTGAGTGGGATCTAATTAATATATTTTTCATGTGCTTCATGCTATGGTACTTTCGATAATTACTGGCAAAGCCACATTTTTACTATATTAGGATTAGCTTTAATTAGGTGCATCAGTGTTTCTTGTTTGTCATTGCACATGAGGGAAGCATGTTCAGCCTTTTCAAAGGCTTTTAAATCCCATCTTGGTTTAGACATTGGCCATACATATAAAGACCCTGAAAGACTTTTGTTAAACTTGTTTTAAAGGCCTCCTTTATTCCAAATGTAGCCACTTGGCATTGCTCCTTTTATGTAGTACAAAGATGGAAATCATGAAATAAGTACTGTAGTTGAAGGATATTTCAGCTAAAATAATATAACACGATTTTATTATGAAAATCATTATCATGTGGAAGCAACAGTTGTATTATTTTGTGTTCATTTTCTCTGAAGAATAATAAATACTAGTGAGAAGAGTTGTGTAGTGGTCTCTACTTTTTTCCAGTTCAGCTTTTATTTGTACATGAGCAAGCAGCACCGACAGTAAGAACGGTTTCTAAGATTTCATGCTTCCCAAAGCAATTTGGAGATGCCTATGCACAAAAAAGAACCGTGCACAAGAAATTCCACGCACTGAATCTTGCTTAGATAGGAACATGAACCACAGGTGGACAAACTGCGTGATCTGTTCCAAGTTCCTCAAAACACAAATCGTTGTGTCTTTTGGAGGCAGGGCTGTGGGTTACTTCCCCTCCACACAGTGGAATTCCACATTGATGAACACAAGATAGTGGGGGGCTCTAGTATGGATACTGCCACCCTCTGCACTGCCTAGCACAGGCTGCAGGTGAGTATTTGCCCTCTCCCCTCACTTTGCAAGGACACATCAAATTTAACATTGCAAAGGGAGACTGTACTTTGCAGAACGTAGTTCTTTCCACCCTTTCCACAGTGCAGTTTCTGCCTGTGGGGGAGAAAGCAGGTATTCTTGGTTCCCCCCAGTTTTGTAAGTGCCTTTTGCCCACCACTAGCATGGAGGCAACCTGTAAACCTGGAGGACACATGAAAGGAGGCGGGGCTCTGGCATGTTTCAAACTGATGCCCCAATACTGAGATTCCTCCTAAGATTAACCATTCCCTGAGCTGCCAGGAACTTAGGATCAATTGCAAAATAACAGGGCAATTGGGACTTAATATCAACACACCCAAAAATAAATACATACAAACATACATACCTAGACCTACTGTTGGAAGGGGTTAATTGAGAAAATAGAGAGAATAGTCCCAAACCAGCTTTTGGCTGGATCTTTGCTTATTTTGGTGGTGGAGGAACGTGCCTCTGGATTATCCATACTAGGAAACACGAGGACTGCCCAAAGCCATATAACATCCCACCATAAACTTGCCAAGGGTTCTTCCTACCCATCCTTCCTATGTTTTAATTTTTACCCAACTTCAAAGTGGGTTTTGTAAAGTAATATGATGTTGCTTGTTGGAATGTACCACTAAGGCCCCTGAGGGAGGCAGTTCATGGCTGCCCAAAATTGGGTTTGGGAAAGTTACCCTGAGAAGTGGCTCCTGTTTTCTTTTTTAAAAGATTTTTTTTTAAAGTCAAGCTACAACAAATGGAAAACAAACCACAATTGTGACAGGTAAGGAAGAAGAGACTTCAGTTCTCCCATGATGTGCCTTGAGATACCTGCAAGAGCGCTGAAGAGGTAGGGGGAGAAAGCAGCTTTGAAGCCATGATGTGCCTGATTCTCAGTTGGACATTTGGCAGCCCCTGGAGCCACAAGGGAAAAAAGCCACAGAGTGTGGCTTGCAAGCCCACAAGATTTACTGTGTGATGCATACCCAATCACCGTGGCTTATTTTCCCTCCAAAATTATGCACATCCAGTTAGCTTCATGACAGATGGCCAGTAGCTTCCTGCTTTATGTTCAGTGTGTTTGGAGATTCCAGCCTTCTCATCACACATTTTGTTACTGAGCACTAAAACAGCTGTATAGTTGTGGTGAATTAAACTGCTGTTACATGGCCCTGGGTTTTCCATATCTGAAATTCTATCTCTGTCCTACATGGCTTGCTAGCTCTGATATCCTTGTCATAAATCATTCCAGACATGAATCATCAAGAAACCATGTTAAACTAGCATTTTGCAGAATGTCTCTTGAATATGACGGATATTGCAAGCTGAGCATACTGCATTACTGTGTTAATAGGTGTCCAGAGAATTTGTATCATAAATTATTATTTATATTTAAAATAGAGCAGAGATCATCTCTTGTTCCTGGTGTAATGATCCATGTATATTCCTTAGATGATGATGTGAAACAAATGATACGTAGATACAAGTGATAAAGGCAGAATAGGTTAAAGATGTGATGAATGCAATTCACTAGTATCACTCCTTTAAACCATTAGGACTTTGGATTGTTGCAAGGTGAGACTCTCAGATCCTTATAGAGAACCAGGAATATGACACTGTTATGACACTGTTAGAGTGGCCATTAACAGCATGCCAGATGGAATTTTGTCCTGTTCTCTCACTCATAAAATGCTGCTCTTGTGTTCTACAGGTCAAGCAATTAATCTTTAAAAACACTTGTTCAGTGCATCATCAGCCTATTCACATATAAGAATTTTGCAATAGCATGGCAACTACTAATATTGTGTAGTGCATATAATTTCTGGTTTTGTACCTTCCATGTGCTAATGCTTTCGACTCAGCTCTGTGTCACTTATGCCACAAGTTTCAAATAAAGATGACAGAGGGTTTGAGTAGTTAGGCTCATGTTTGGATGAGCTTTTCAAAATAGTTGCATTAATAATTTTAGAGACTGTGCAAGTCTGAATTCAGGTTCTCATTGGTGGCCAGCAAAGCTAGCCTTTGCAGTTTCCTGATCTGAGCATTAAAATTAATAAGAATGCAATAGGCTTAAAATATCCTGCCTATGTTTACAAGAGCTGAGAAGGGCTGTCATAGACAGGAGATTTTGGAGAGCTTTCATTTACAGATTTCCTCTAAATCAGAGATGATTTGACAGCACATAACAATAACAAATTCTGTTTGTGCTCTGTCACTGAAGGCCAAATTTCTTATTACACCAAAGATAACCTTATGAAAAGCAGCTGAAGGAGGCTATCAGTTTGAAAATGGGGAGTGCTCTGCTTAACTCTTCTTCAGCTTTTTTTAACAGCTGGGGAAGGTTTTAAATGAGAGAGGCAGTGAAGGTGAAAGGGTTTCCCATCCTCCAGCCACCTTGCCTCTATCTGAGGTGTTATTCCTGTGTGTTGTGTCTTGTTGTGTTATCCAGTGTACTATTTCTGTTTTTTCAGGCAATTGCACACTGTGTCATGTAAAGTAGTTTATTCTCTGGGATGTCCCCTAGCGTTCATTTGAAGTGAAATTTGAAGGTTGCCCTTCATTGTCCTTGAAAGCCCACAAAAATTAAGGAAAATGGAATAGGATGGATTTTCATTCTCATCAGGAGCTAGCTAGTTTGCTTGCCGCAGGCGTATTGTTAGATAAAAAGCAGTGTATATACCCTGCTTATACATAAATAACTATATAAATGGTTGCCTGTATTCTGAGGATGTTTCCTATAAAGACCTCCATAAGTCCTGGAAGGTCTCAATTTTCTCAGCAAAAACAACTACGGAAGGAGCCTGGAAGGAGAGTATATGTAGGTGTTGTTATTCTCTGTTCGGTGTTCCTACAACAGCAGTAATGCAGTAACAGAATAACAATTCCAGCTTCGGAACTGTGTTAAATGGATGAACTAACTAATTCAGATAACACTAGCTATTTCAACAAGCTTCATAAAAAAAAAAAAAAAAAAGAACAAAATGCCTTTAAATGCCAACATTTTGGGTTGGATTCACACTTAGACCAGACCCACTGAAATCAATATGACTGGAGTTAATTGAGTAGCACTAATATAAAAGTTGCACATCAGTTTTTATTGTTCAACATCATGAATTATGTATCCTATATAATTGTTGGATTAATCAAGTATCTCTTTTCATTACATTTGAGTAAGGGTTTATGAGTGTGCAGAGTTTGATGCATAGTATCATTTTTAGGAGAAAATACTTCTCATCCAGTGTAAGAGTAACTTGCAACTTCTTTATGCATTGTCAGTATTTACACTGTGCCTTTTAATGTAGTTTGTTGCAGTGCTGGAAGGTGTACTATCTAAACTATCAAGGTATGATGAAGGCACTTTCTTCTCATCAATACTTTCATTCACTGTAAGTACTTTAGCTCTTTAATAATAGATTTTTATGATCCACTTAGAACTAATGGTGGCCAGTTACAGTATTTGTTTCTTACTTTTAAATTTTTAAGGTGAAAGCAGCTGCAAAATATGTTGATGTTCCTGTAAGTATTTTTCTTTTAAGTATGGATGTTATAAATGTGTTGCTTTCCACAATGTGTACTTTTTTCATGTGTTATCATTTTGCTTTCCTTTAGAGGTTCATTATGGCTTTACACAAAGTATTTAAACAGATACATCTTTCCCCTAGAGGACATTTCATTTCCCTTAAGTAACAACTAACTCTCAAAGCAAAGCTTAGAAAGGTTACACTCAGTGTACTTTTTCAGTTGTGGAGTACTGAGGATTGTAACCTAGGAACTATTTCATGGGGGACATTTCATCATTTTGGTACATTGTTCCAAGGCCTAGCTCATTTTGGTTTCTTAAGAAAGTGTATGCCTTCAAAATTGTATTCAGATTATATTCTGTGTATTAATATCTTTCTTGTAAACCTTAGACACTCCAGCTGTTGTTACACAGATATTTCAGTTTAACCAGACCTGCTCCTAATTTCTTTCAAACACTGATATTATCAAGGTGCAACTCTGTCCTATTCCAAATAGCCCTTTCCTTTCATGCTTCCCCTTAAAAAATGCCTTTTTGCTATGACTAGAACTGCAACCCTCTGAGTCCTATTAAATACAGTGGAAACCACTTCCAAATAAGCATGAACAGGAAATATTTTTTCCCCTATTTCTTACGTTAACTTCAAGCTTCAGTATAACCTGAAGTGTCTAATCCTGCCTAATCTTGGAAGCTAAGCAGGGTCAGGCCTGGTTGAAATCTAGATAAATGGCTTAATGCTGTGAACTGCCCAGACAGCTTTGGCTATGGGTGGTATAGAAATGTAAATATCAACAACAATAACTTACATAATCAAATTTGCTGCCTATTCCCCTTCCCTGCTTTTCTTTTCCCATTTTTCTGTTTCAGCTTACTTTAGTTAGGTGAATTGGTTCACACCAGTGGAAATGAAAAAATACTGTAGATACAATGAGGTACATCTTTCACTGAGCAGATCACAGAACACATTTAGGCTATACACATGTATGCATTGTACATAAGTTGCATTGTAGATGCAGTAGTGAGCACACAGCTGCAAAGCTGCATCTTGTTGCACTTAGTGATTGTGCATTTTCAGCCATGCCAACCAATCCCATATGAGCTCAATATCACATGATATTCTGGTGTTTTAGGAATCTTATTATCAGGCATTGTCAGCTGTCAGGCTGTGGCCCACTAAGTTCCAGAGCTGAAGAAACTGGCTGGATGTTTAAATGACTAAGAATGAGTTGCAAGTCAAAATAAACTAGAAGTCAAAGTCTAAGACAGTTCAAAGATCACAGAAGCTAGAGGCAGTGAGTGGCCAATAGCAGGAAACAGTCCAGTTGCAAGGCAGCAAGAAAATTTGAAGCAGATATATCATCAAAGGGGGATGGTTTCCAAGATAGCAATCAGCAAAAGGGAGCAAGTGGAAGGAGAAACAGCAGCAATGAAAGAAGCAAATAAAGAAAAGCATAAAAGTTCATCTACCTTTCCTCTTTTGTTTTAGTTCTCATTATCATTTTCACAGAGAGAGATGATAGATGAAGTGTTGTATGAGAGATGGGATGCTCAGACTAAGGAGCTTGTTCTAAAGCTAGGTTTTTGAGCGCTTTGTATACTGAGCTTTGTCCTTGTGTTTTGCTGACTTTGTGTCCATGCAAGTTGTTAACTGCCTTAGAATTCTCCTCTCCAATTGCAGGAATAGGTTACTCCTGCAATAAGCTTCTCTTGCATGGCTTGATGAACTGGTATGAGTTCTTTAAACAATGGGCAGAAGTTAGAGGGACTTGTATGAACATGGCAGAAGTTTGTGAAGGTTTCCTTCTCTAAGACTTACAACTTTTCTCAAGATCCTTGAAAGTTCAGAGCTGCTTTTCCCACACTTAAGAAATGTGGTTTTAAAAGGCAGGTTTGGTGGGGGGGGGGGAGTATCAAGGCCTCTCAAATGGGAGTGGAAATGAGGAAAGAAATCTCCACGGCTTATTAATATAATAAGATCTGCAGCAGCAAAGAATCCTGAAGATTCAAATGTTCCTTTTGTGTTCCATTTACATTTTATAGAACAGTAACAGGAACTTAGGTTTGATTCACATAGTTTAATAGCAATAGCCTGTATTTGAGCAGAAATACAGAACACATCAACAAAACCAGGAAGAAATTCTAAATAATAAAAAACATTTCTCATCTCTGTTCTTGTAGATGGATCATTAGAATTGTATTAATTAGCTTTTAAGAGAAAAGCAACACTTCAGTCTTAAACATATTCCTCAAAAGTAAAGTCCTATTAGACAAGGTCTATTCATTCTGTTGCATTATTACATATGTGGGTAGTACAAGCATAAAACCAAAGAAAACCACAAAAGGAAGTTGTACCTAACACCTAGGCAACAAAAAATCAATAATCAAGCTGTGAGATACAATAGTAAATGGACAAATAAATCCAGCAGGCAGATTATATATATGTGTAACACCTTTCATAGCATCAACATTTAAAAGCAAGCAACTTTGGTCCTTTTTAATGGTTACCTGCTGTCCTACTGCAGTAGGGGACTTGATGTGGACAGTTTTTGATTATCCCTTATCATGACTCTTAATAATAGGCAGGTGGTGGTTCTTAATTTGTGGCTATGTCATTGTTTCTTTTCATTTGGGTGCAGGCTAGGTTCTATTCTTTTTTCCATATGCACACATAAGACATTTTGATTCTGGTATTAGACCACTGAAGGTGATCACTTTATGGTCAAAACATATTTAGCGCCCATTACATATAAATATTTGCATATTTGTTTACAGGTACATCAAGTTGCTTGCTTGTAAGCTTTAAAAGGTATTCCATGATTGTAGAAAATGTGTCATTGAATTTATGTATTTATTCATTTGATAATAAATATTCTAACATGGTGGTTATTTGCAACACAACATCTAAAACGAAAGCCCAGCCTCCTTCCCATGGAAGCTTCTGAAAAAAATATTTTTGGATAGTGGATAATTTTGTTTGTCCAATCCGGGCTTTACAAAGCCCAAAGCAAGAGTCATTGTTAAAAAAACAAACAAATAAACAAAAACACCTCTTATTACTGGAATTCCAGTAATGAGCAAATAGCTTGCACGGAGTCAGTGCTTGTAGACAAAACCAGGGTGTTAGTAAGTTCCTGGCTGTAGGTCCAATGCAGCCTGCAAGCATATCAGGTGCTCCTCAGCGTTAGCCCAGCAGTGCTGCTGTTCCAAAGACAGCAAGAAGCTTTCCACAGCAGTATGGTATGCTGTCTCCTATAAAAGCTACTAGAAACTGCACAGGGTTATATACAAGAGAATAGTTTTCAGAAATCGCCATTGAATTATTTCTTTATTGTTAAATTTATATGCCGCTGAATAACCTGACAGGGCTCTTTAAGCGACAAACAACAAGATACGAACCTAATTTAATTGCAGTTGAATAGAACATTACAATTTATATGGTGGGCAAGAGAAACCAATTGCTGGTAGTAGAATAAAATATTACAGAAACATTGTTAAAATTAGGTTTCAAAATACCTACAGAAAAGAACAGTTTTCGCCTGCTGCTGAAATGATAGTAAGGATGGTGCCTGATGACCCTCACCCATTCCAAAGGTGAGGGGCAGTCACTAAAAAGGCCCTTCTTTTAACTGACATCTCTTTCACTCTTTTAGAAGGACCTCATGCCCAGATCCCAGTGGGTGGGTAGGTATATATGGAAAAAAGTGGTCCTTCAACTAATCAGGTCCCAAGCTGTTTAGGGTTTTAAATGTTAAAACATGCACTTTACCTTGGGCCCTGGCTTCAACTGGCAATAGTGTGATTTATGTAGAATAAGTATTATATGGACTTGAAAGAAGATGCTCAACACCAGACATGCAGCCCTATTTTGGATTCTCTGGACTGCCTTCAAAGGCAGCCCTATGTAGAGCACATTACAGTAATCCAATTGGGATGTTATCAGCACATAAGCAATTCTGGTCCGGCTCTGTCTATCCAGATAAGGCCATGGTGGTTGTATTTGCCACAGCTGAAAAAAGTCACTCTTGGCCACTGAGTCCACTTGAGATTCCAATGATAATTTTGGGTCCAGGAGAACCCCCAAGCTGTCTTTTAGGGAAAATATGACTTCATCCAAGACCATCTAACCTGCCAGACAGATAGCACCAGTCTGGACTGAGTTTCAGTTTATTGGCCCTCATCCAATCCACAATCAAATGCAGAGGTGTGTTCAGCAAGACCACCTCACCTGGACTGGATGTAAATAAGAGGTAGAACTGAGTGTCATCAGCATATTACTGACAGCTCTCCCAATGGTTTCAATATCATATAGATGTTGAAAAGCATGGGAGATAGTATAGAGCCCTGCAGAACCCCATGGCATAATCTCCATGGGGCAGAACTATTGGACATAATCAGCCAAGGAAGGATTGGAACCAATGCAAGGCAGTGCCTCCAACTCCTAACTTAGCCTGTCCAGAGGGACACCATGATCAGTTTGGTCCTGGAGAGAAAACTGCCCTTCAACTTGTGGCTAAGCCTAACCAGGCATCTTTGCCCCATTTTGCTGCCAACAGACCAAAGGAGACATCCCTGAAATGCCCTCTCCAGCAGAGCCCCCCCCCCCCACTGTCCTCCTGCCAGAGATGAGGTCCCTGTCTGATAAACAGGATTCTCCATCTGGGCCGAGTCTTCTAGCTAAGAAGATTGGTTCTTTTGGTCTCCAGCACTTCACTAGCAATGGGAAGCCTGGCAGAACTGAATAGCCAAGTCTATAATAACACTCTTCTGAGACTGACATGGTGTGACTATATTCTGCAATGCCTCATGATGCAGAATCTCTGCATAAGTTAGCATCTGCTTATTGAGAAGACACATATAGACACATACGGAGGGGGAGGAAGCTAGATTATAATTTACAAGGTGCCCACATGTATTAACAGCACACTGCACATCCTAAAAAGTATTTCCTAGTCAGAGGTTTATTGTCTAAAGGATACTATTAAAAAGGATTAGGAGA